GGATAAAGGTAATCACTCCCTCCCTCTCTCTCTCTCTCATGTGCCTTTTAATGCCTTTCAAGCCTTCCCTTGGACTTCATGATTGTTTTATTGCCAATTTGAAGAAACATTCAAGTTGCTTCTTCCTACCTGAGAGAAATGAATATGTTTACCTAGGAGAGCTGGAGGCAGCAAATCAGAAACGTGTTTTCACATTCACTGACGCAATTTTAAAAAGCAGTTGCATCCTCACTCCTAGCATGAAACTGTTTGGCAGCGTGTGGTATTTTGTTGTTCTAAGCAATCCTTTAGTGGGCACTTTTAGAAGCTCTTCCACGTTTTCGGAACCTATTCCTACGCACAGCTGAGTTTGAAACATTCACTCTGCTGTCATAAACCGTGAACATTGGTAAAACTGCAGGCGGCAGTACAGTACGAAGCCTACAACATCTTATCTGTCATTTGGCTTGCAGTACGCACAACAATTATAGAAATGTCCTTTGTGTATTCGCGTTGAGGGTCCTCATATCGAGCAACTTCTTTTTTCCTCAGTTGAATACAGAAATGCGGTCTTCGGACATGAAGCCAGAGCATTCATCCACATTCATTAACTTACTTACACTCTAAACGGATTTAAAGTTTAGTAGATGTGTGCCCATGTGGATATGCAATTTTTAAACACATGAAACTAGTGTCAGTCCTCCCCACATTAGCTCACGGTTTGCTGCCCTAACATGACTGCTATCTCTAAACTACGTCTAAATTACAGAAATACTTGTGTTTAACGCGGCGACCTCGGTGGCGTTCAAACTCACGACGACAGGGGAAGGACCTACCTATTAATTACTTGAGTTTGGTAGTCATCTGGTGGGTTCTAGACTGATTACTTACGAAATCCTGTCTGGAAAGTCAGCTTACTGTATCAGATTTGGTGGATTCCATACGTTGCAATAGGTTGAACGTGTAAAATGACCCACATGTGATTAAACTCACAGCCCCCAGTGGGGTCTCATAGGTCAGGTGGCTAGAGCGCTGGCTGTACAAATCCGTCGATCAGCAACGTCATCTTCGATCAGATCTGCGAGTTGAAAGGTTTACAGTGACGTTAGAGCACCACGGTGCACCGATGGAAGAAGAAACGACTCAGGGATCAAAAGGGCTCCTGTTACCAGTGATGAGCAGGTCGCCTGTAATTTGGCGATCTATGGCTTGCTCGTCTGTGGGTAGCCAAACCTTGGCCGTGTCATTAAGGTTACCACCTGTGTATATGCACATGGAGAGTGGATAATTTGGCCTAGTAGAGCGGTTATCAACCCTATTCCCTGGCTCGTCAGCGTAGGGGGTGGCTGGAATAAGTTGGACGAATATGTCTGGGCGGCAGCGCTTCTGGGAATTGTGCTTGTCAGAGAGGGACGGCGATGAGAAGCTTCGGTTCTTATATCTAATAACTATTGTGAGGTCTCTGTCCTAGGGATCTCCTCAAAAGTAATTTATGGTAAAGTCGACAGCCAGGAACTCGCATCCGAACGTGCCTTAGAAGGACTCCACTGGCGAGAACCCCCTTAAAGAGAAAGCTAGAGGTTGGAGGGACTCGACAGAAGTTTAATATTCCTAAAAACAGTTACTAGTGCTGGGAATGGGGGCATACGTTTTGTCTACGGCAGCCTTTACGGTGTCTAATGTGACGTCTGAAGACAGAGCACGTCTGCGGAAGGCATTTGCCTTAGAAGCAAGCTTGGCAAATTGCAGATATCAGCCAGAGTGGAGAGGCGGGTTCGAGGATGTGTTCGCAAGTGTGAACTAGTGGTTGCGCTAGGCGACATGTGTGTATTGCCCTGACGGTGTGACGTTTTTTAAGACATGACATCCATGGTGAAATTTCGATCACGCCGGCGAATAATATGTTGAATCCTTATGAGTACCTGACCCCTTATTAGCTTGCTTGATAACGTTTGCTCGCAAGTTTGAGATAGATGAGTGAGTGCAAGGATCGAGGAACATTTAAACCCAGGCGGGTAGACTGGCGTACGTGGCTGAATGCTGCAAATCTGGTTGCTAGGTGTGAGGGCTGACATTGAATTAGAGGGCGCAATGAAGGGGACGGACGCTGCTGGAGTAAAACAAATAGCCCGGAAATCTAAGGGGAGAAGAGGCGAACATATGAATGGAAGGAAAAGCTATAGTGTCGGATTTCCGTAGACACACTAGAATATAATTAAGCGGTCGACACTGCAGACGTAAACAGGAGGTAGACCACGAAATATTCGACAGAGAGACATTGAGAAGCATGAGGGGCTGTTTTGGAGACCAAAAGAAGCGGTAACGACTGTCTTGGAGGAATTTTTCTAAATAATCTATGTCTGATGGAAAGATTGAAGCAAGTCGATCTCTGAGAACACGACTTTACAGAACAGTACACTAACAAAGTCCTGAATATGAGAGGCTGGATAAAGATTGGATATCGCGGTCCTGCTCAAGGTTCCATAATAGCCACAGGGACGTCAGCCGTGGCCCACAGAACCACGTGCAGGGGGGAAAGCCCAGGACTTCCGGGCTGGCGCGCAGTCCACCACTGCAACATGTGTTCAAGCTCAACTTTGGCTGTAACAATATTGACAGGCACATGGCGATGGGGTCGTGAGAACGCTAGGCGGCCTGTCATTTGACTGTGTTGAAGCACATGATGCACGCGGAGGCGGTCCTTAAACTGAGGTTCGGTGGAGATTGACTTGTTGTTGAAAAGCCCGCCATGTGTACGTGCTGGGTGAACTTTCCTAACTCGGAAGTCTGGCCTACAGCGTTGCAAGGAAAGCATGCATTAAGGAAGAGGACTCACAAGCTGCGCGTAGTTGAGGCAAGCAAATTGATTGTAGGAGATGCTGTGCATAATAAGTACTGTCAAGTGCGTGCGTAACTTCGGAAACATGTGTAGATGGTGATAATCGCTTAATCCGTGAACTCCACGAGGTCTCGCGATGATTTCCCTTAACAAGCATGAAAACGCGGCGCATGCGTACAAGAACCCGTGCATTTAGACACAACATGCTATCCGATTTAGCGTCTCTCAACGGCTAACCGGTTCATGGGGATGCGACAGAACAGATACTCAGAATTAAACGTCTGAGAAAAAAGGACACCTCTGGTAGACGGCATATCAATCGTTTCCTGCAGTCGAGGAAAACATCGAAAGAGGTGAGAAACTAAACTCCAAGGGTTACACAAGGGATACAAGAAAAGTGGACAAATCTGATGAAAAGATGACAAAGTCACATACCCAGAATGAAAAAATTGAATACCGAGGGTGGAGATAGAAGGGGACTGATCAGTCTGGTGGAACAAATTGGAATTGGCACATCTACGGTCGAAAGGTGTGGGTAAGGCGACATGATTAACCCGAGCACAACTGTCGACGCGCAAACATCTGCAACTTTTGCTGTGGCAGACGGAAAATGTGCTGCCAACACAGGGCTTGATAGAAAGGTTGACGACAGTTACCCTCCACCCCATGGATTCTTCATGCAGGACTCCTAGTATTCAAGGAAAGCACGTCACCGACCTTGCGACCTAACTATGTATAAGACCACCAAAGTTCGACTTTATGCTGGTGATCGTGATCACTTTTCCGCTTAGACGTATCTGGGTGCTGTGAGGTTGAACAGCAGTTTCTTCCGAAAAAACGTTAGAGGTTTCAGTGCAGTGGACAGGGTGGAAGACTGGAACAGCCGAGATCCTAATTTCTGAACCTTCCCCATCCAATCCGCCGTCTCAGGGAGGTCCGGGCTTCGAGGACTTCCGTGTTGGAGACGAGATTGCTTCATAAACCTCACTTTTATGTGCTTTTAGTCGCTCGGTAATTAACTAAGAAGTGAGTGTACGCGACGAAGGTCTGTCGATCCTAGCAACGCCCTTTCCCTCACCATTCCAGAGTTTTAGCAAAATTCTCCAGAGTTCTGATCCATCCGAATCTCGTCAGCCAGTCTCATCCGGGAGCGGGCAAAGTTCCACAAATTGGTCCCGGCCGTCCCCACACCCATGGCAGTTCGCGTTCCTTTGATTCTTTTAATTCATTATCTCAATAGGCATGAAGAGAATTTATCGCAAGCAGGCTTATGCCCGCCAAGTTGTCTTTTGAGGTCACATTCAGTCACTTCATACCGAACTTTCCTGTTGATGTCTGGAGGCTTAAATTTGCCAAATTAGTGGTGTCTATCTAAATAACAATTGCCAAGTGGAATGCGGCCTCGAATAGAATTAAGCAGGAATGTAAGATGTTCTGCCTAGGCTGAAAAATGGGGGGGGGGGGAGAAGAGAGTTGACGGCGTTTCAAAAATCTCGAGGTCTGCATTTAATGCCAGCCATGATAGGGCAACGGAAGATGGTGCACTAACAGAACTGCGCCAAGTTGTCGCCGCTTCTGGGGCGCGCAAATGGCGCGGTGGTGAGTGGGCGAAATCGATGGCACTCACGAGGTCTGAACGCGTGAATGTCCCCTCACAAATATTCCCACGATCCACGTCGGTCGCTTTTTCATGTGTCCGTCCTTGGCGCATTTGTCTGAGTCAGCAGCACAGACTAGCATGATAACAAACGCATCGGAGGCAGGTGTCCGCTATGAGTGTTAGAAAACCACCAGCTCGGCGATAAGAGCCGAAACCCGGGCACACAAAAACAGAATAAACACCACGAGAGTGAGAATATAATTAGCTGTAGAAGTCTGGTAGTGTGTATAAAGGAGTAATAACAGAAGGGAATGGGGGGAAATAGATGACGGAAGTAATCGCAGACGGTTGTAGCAGGAAAGGAATATGGCTGAAGGGCCCGCGATCTGCATGCCAAATTGCTAGCCTCCTATAGTCAGTGTCTTGTTGCGGTGAGTAGCAACTGAGGCTTGTAGAATGTTTTCGCTAGAAATCGACTGATCTCAGAGTAATTACAAGATGGTTTGTGTGGGGGGGGGAATCCTCAGCGTCCACGCTATGCTAAGACAACTACAACTACGCTGGAGCGGCTACCCCGTATAGATGGACGATGAGATGCTACCCAAACGACTCTTCTGTGGAGATGCCGTGGCGGGTTCACGCCGACAAGGAGGTCAAGTCCGGCGCTACAATGATACTCTGAAAACCTCCCTTAAGCACCTGCAGATCAACCCGGTAAACTGGACAGACTTCGTCCGCGACCAACCTACGTCAAGTAAAACAATGGAGACAGGCGCAGCAATGTTCGAAGCTAACCGCATCACCGTCGCCAAAGCCAAACGAGAAACATACAAATCTCAGTTGTCGCCGCCACCGTTTCCCAACGCCAACGCCCGGCCGACTCCAACGTGTCCACCATGTCAACGAACATTCCGAGCGCCAATTGGACTTGTTGGACACCTCCGGACCAATTTTAGCACACGGACTGCACCAACCGTCGTCCCTCCGTCAACCTCTCCATTGCCTCCCGCGCCGTCAGCTAACGTTGACCGCCCTCGTCAACCACCGCTGCCGCCTTCATCCTCCTCTTCCTCCTCCAACGCCACCACCTCAATGTCTGCCGCTGTGGCGTCTGCCATGCCCATCAACACTACACACAATCCTGACACACCAACAAACACCAACATCATCACCGTCAACAGCGGTGATGAGGATCCGGTCTATGCATGACCTCATTGCGATCGCAACTTCACCTGTTCGGTCACTTACGAATCCATCGCACCGAGAATGGCGAACCAGTGTCCGGAACAACAACCTACACTTGCCGCATCCACCTCCACTGCCCACACTTCCCTCGCACATTCATGCACCGCATGAGCCTATTCGGCCATATGCGTATCCACGAGAGCGTAATTGACCGCAGTCCCGACACACATACCACCTCTTGCACATCCGTCATGCCTAGAGCAACCCAGACCCCGCCGCCCAGCACACACACCATCGTCAGCTCCACCACACTCATGCATAGCCAGCTGCAACTGCGTTGGAGCGACCACAGCATGCGGATGGACGACGAGCGGCTACCCAAACGGCTTTTCTATGGAGATGTCGTCACGGGTTCCTGCCCACAAGGAGGCCAAGTCCGTCGATACAGGGACACTCTGAAGACTTTCCTGAAGCGTCCGCAGATCAGCCCGGCCAACTGGGAAGACCCTGCTCGAGACCATCCCACCTGGAGGAGGACGGTGAAGACAGGCGCAGCGATTTACAAAGGTAACCGCGTCACCGCCGCCAAAGCCAATCGCGAGTCTCGCAAATCTCGATGTTCCCAGCCTTTCCACGCCGACGCTCAACCACTTCCGATTTGCCCAGGATGCGAGTGTACCCAGCCGGTTACCAATCGGCCTTAAAGGACATCTGGAAAGCCACTGCAATACCCGGACTACACCAGCTGATCTCTCCCGTCCATGTCTGGTTCGTCCCCCACGCCGACAAATAGCACTGACCGCACTTCCGGACCCCCACTACCATCGTCCTCCTACTCCGTCTCCTCCTCCTCCTCCTCCTCCTCCTCCTCCGTCTCCTCCTCCACTACCTCGACATCTTCTACGACGATTCCTGTACCCACCACCACCACCACCACAAACAATCTTGACACACCAACAAACATCAACATCTCCATCGTCAAAGTCAACGATGTGAACTCGATCCGCACCCGTTCCAACTGCGAACGCATGTGCACCTCACACAGTGGCCTAGTTTGTCACTTGAGAATCCATGACACAGTGACTGGCGAACCAATGTCTTGATCATCGACCTACACTCGCCATATTCGCATCCACTGTCAACACTACCCCGCACTTTCACTCACCGCATGGACCTATTCGGTCACATGCGTAATCACGAGAGCGGAATTGACCGCAGCCCCGTCACACTCATCATCTTTATCCGCCTCACCACACTTAGCACATCCGCCATCCCTAGGCCAACACACACCCAGTCGCCCAGCACGTCCGCCATCAACAGCTCCACCACTGCCACAGTCTCCAAAACCGACACTGACACCGCCGACTTTTGCTGTCCATACTGTTTCCATACATTCATCTCACACATCGGCGTGGTCGATCACTTTCGAATCTACTACACAGAGACCGGCGAACCAGTGCCTGGAATTCCCATAGACGCTCGCCTCAACTGTCCTCACTGCACCCGCACATTCATCCACCTCATGCGCATTCACGATAACCTGCGGTAGACTACAACCGCCTACACCACACCATCACATCTTCCCCCACCAACACCTGCACCACACAACACCGTCATCATCCACCTCAAGCATCCAAATGCCACCTCCCATGCAAGTGGAAAGTGTGCGTCTCGGCCCCCTCTCCATGCGACACCTCTTCTGCATGTGTGATTCGAGTCTGAGGCTATAGCGGCTCGTCAAGTGCTGTGGCTTGGAAAGCTGCTGACTGACGCTCCAACTCTCCCCACGTAGTCTGCCCAGTTGTGGATTTGTTTGTATGGTGTGAAAAACTGGTGGGCCGAGAGGCAGGCTGAAACGGGTCCTTCCTAAAGTGATATCTGGCACTAGCACGCATTTGAGATTTACATCGTTCAAGCCCCGTTGTGCGAAATCGTGGCGCTTGTAATTGGAGGGCCAGGTCGTGCATGTGGTGCGCGCAGACAAGGTCACCAGACTATGTCAGCCACCGCGCCTATTCCCCGCACCTGTCTACTGACCGGCTCGGACAGTGACAGGGGCCTGGGAATTGGAGAGGAGAGTGAGGTTAATGGCTCAGCGCACTTTCCTCACTATGAACAATCTGACGCGCTTGAGGCTATCACGGTGAGCTAAAAGCCGTGGCTTGGAAGGTTGCCAACTGACGGGATAACACGGGCCTCGCAGTCGGCCCAGCGTTGTGTGTGTTGTGTGGAGTAGCCGGCGGGTTGTCTGAGAGTCAGGCTGCAGTGGCTCCTTCTTAATGTGGTCATTATGGCACTCCCACTCCTTGGGTTCTGAGTCAGGTGTGACAGCACGCCTAGGTGCAACTCCGGCCGCGCCAGCCACCCCTTTGCTGTTGGTCGAAAACCTGGTCATTTGCTGTGTGGACCAGAGGGTCTGTAGTGGAACGCCTAGGTGCGGGCTCGACTATGGCATCCACCTGCTCCATTTCCTGCCTCCGGTCTTCTTTGCTGTGTATTGACACCGTATCCAGGTGGGGTAGGAGGAGGAGGAGGAGGAGGAGGAGGAGGAGGAGGAGGAGGAGGAGAAGGAGGAGGAGAAGGAAGGAGTGCGGTAGGTGGTGCGTAAGTCTACATCCTCTAAAAACCGTTTAGGCATTTATTGGCTCGAATGACTTCATTGTTCGTGCCAAACATAATCGTTTAGTTCTCACGGAGTTGTAGTGATAAAATTCAATGGCTGTCGTGGGAACAGGAGACTAAGTGTCTTCTGTTATAAATTACAATTAGATTAGAAATCCCTATGAGTGATTGCCGTACTAACCGAGTTAAGTTGTCTGCAGGACAGGGTATCTTATTTTCGGTCTTAGTGATCAAACATTCAGGGTTCTTATCGACACTACTAGAGTCAGAGGACCCGAAATGATTGATGATCTAATCGCTGATCTTAACATCATAAGAAACATTGAGGGAGAGACCATCTTGTCTGGATTTTTCGCTAACATTGCAGCTCCAGATAACAATGTGCGTCGATGAGAGAGGTGTATTTGTGAGCTGACTTTTCGAGCAGCGAACTTGGTTACCCATCTTCAGAAGATGGTGAATCATATGAACACTTCTTATCATATAGTACGTGGGTTACGTACGCATTCTGTCCGACGCGCAAATAGCAGATGTGGAGTGGGATACGAAGGGGATCATCACTGCGCGGTGATCTGCGGCGTCCCCCCTTCTCGTAGGGTGTGGCGATAATTTATGGCCCGGGGGCTTTCACACCTTCACGTCTGTCTTGCTGTGTAATCGTCGCTTCGTTCCGAGATCTTATCGGTAGCAAAGCTGGTTAAGCATCCTGTCCGTGCAGGGTGGGTTTACACCTCCGACTTTGGGTCCAGCATCGATACGGCTAATTGATTTCCTTTCATTAGTGTTCGCAGCGGTCGGCTGTCTACGCCGACGCAATCGACCCCTCTGCAATTGTATTGAGGTCGGTAAGCAACGGCTGACGCCTTTTGGCCGCCCATTCAATCGCCAGGCGAGCTTACCTGGATTGGTTTTACGAAATTACTCAGCATAATGCAGCGAAGGTGTGAAACCGTCAGCACCATCAGTTACTACCGCGGTCAATGAGGAGGGGAGGACGCAGACCAGCGCGTAGTGGTTTCTTTCGCACCCACAGTTCGCATTGGTAGTTAACGCACCGAACGCAATGCGCATGCAACCGACGTACTGCGTACTGAGAGCTGCGCACACAACCCTCCAGTTTCTGAAGATGGGTGGTCAAGATCACCGCTCGAAAGGTCATCTCACAAATACATCCGTCTCGTTGAACGCCGCTCCCTCTTTTTACAAATGAAACTGTTCAAAGCACTTTTCTGCCTCAAGTTACCCCGATACAATTTTTTTCAAAATCGAACAGCTATTCGCTAAATATCCAAGCGTAAAGCGGGTGAATGAGATAATCTAGTAGGTTCAGCTGATAATTATGCACCTTACTTCGACCCAACCGTGAAAAACTCTGTGCCTCGATGGGATTCGAACCCACGACAGCAAGGGGAGGCTTTAGTACAGCCAACGCTCTTACCATCTGGCCTACGGGACTCCACCGGACCACGCGAGTTTAACTACATCTGAGTCAAGTTTATCCGCCCAACCTACTGTAATCGCTGTAATCCACCAGATCTGATACAGTAAGCTGACTGCCCAAGCAGAATTTCCTAAGTAATGCATCTAGAATCCACCAGATGACTACCAGGCTCACGTAATTCGGAGACGTTTTGGCAGATTTCAAATGATTCACTCTGACCCAACTGTGAAAAACTCGGTGCCTCGGAGGTGAAGCCTCGTAGCTCAGGTGGCTAGAGCGTTGACTGTACTAAAGCCTTCCCCTTGCTGCCGTGCGTTCGAATCCCACCGAGGCACCGAGTTTTTCACAGTTGGTCAAAGTGGATTATTTGAAATCTGCCAAAACACCTCTGAATTATGTACTTACCGTTAAAGTGCAATGCAAAATGTCACACTAAACCAGAAGTTTTTCAAAATTGACCGTATATTTTTAAGATTTTATCGATGTACCAAAAGCTTGTGTTGCTTTGGGCTTATTGATAGCAGATGCCTGTTTTCAATGTTGTAAATATAGCTCACTTTGTCGTACATACTTTTGTTCTTCTAGGTTTATAGCCAGGATGCTGTGTTCCTAGGGAGTTTCGGCAACGTGGAACAGGATGGTTTGTACTCCGGTAGATCGGCCAACTTCGGGAGTTCATTTGATCTGACAATCGCTAATAATGACACTATCTATATCTCCGATTACCAACATGGAGAGGTGAGGACTTCGATTACGTTTCTTCCTTCAGTTTTGTAGTCGCTTAACTGACTTACTTATCCCTATAAAGAAACAGATTATCGATAGTCACAGCAGGACAGCTGCTTCCGAACAGTGTATTCGACCCGCCTTTTTCCTTACTGGCGACTCGAATGCCAAAAATCAACAATCGCATCTCCAGCCACCCGACTAAGTTACAGCCCCATATTCGGTGGCAGATTTT